GCCCGCGTTGGTCTGGCCGCTGAGGCCTTGCCTTGGAGGGAGGAGAGTCACCGTGCCTCAGCTTCCCCGTCTGCACAGTGGGCTCGTGGGGGTGCAGCACCCGCACCTGTTCATGGGCACCTTAGTCCAGTGTTCGCTGGGAGCAACGGTCAGGTTGTGGGGCCCAAGCTTCAGCCCCCCACGTCCCAGCTGGACCAGGGGGAGATTCTGCGTCTCACTCCTGTCACAGGCACGTGTTATGTGGGGTTCAGGGACAAGTGCCTCCCAGGCTCCAAATCACATGGCCACACTCCAAACAGCCACACCCGTCTTCCCAGCACCACCCACAGAAGTGGGAGTCACCACAGGACACGTTCCCACGGACTGTGGGTGCTGCGTCCAGGTCACGGCGTCTGTCCCCCAAATATCTGCAGGCGAAGCCTTCCGTGCACAGGTGAGCTGCCCCTGTCGCTGGCTGCCTGCACCAACCAGCCCCACATCGTCAACTACCTGACGGAGAACCCCCACAAGAAGGCGGACATGCGGCGGCAGGACTCCCGCGGCAACACGGTGCTGCACGCGCTGGTGGCCATCGCCGACAACACCCGGGAGAACACCAAGTTCGTCACCAAGATGTACGACCTCCTGCTGCTCAAGTGTGCCCGCCTCTTCCCCGACAGCAACCTGGAGGCCGTGCTCAACAATGACGGCCTCTCGCCCCTCATGATGGCCGCCAAGACGGGCAAGATCGGGGTGAGTGCAGGGCCGGGGGCGGGCACAGGTGGCCCATGCACTCCTGTTTTCCACACACACACACACACAGCAGGCGCTGCTGCTGGCATTCATTATGGTTAATACCCGCCCCCCCCTCTCGGCATGCCAGCCCTGGTGTGCAGATGTCCCAGCTCAAGAGCCTGCTATGGCTCCCTATTGTCCAGCCAAGCAACTCAACTCCATCCAGAGCCTCTGGATGCTCACCCCCCACTCCTGCCAGCCAGGACCAGCCACTGAGAGAAACCTGAGTCCCGGGTCTCCAGCGCTGCCGACCCCACCGCTGGGTCCTGGCTCAGCCGGAGCTGCTGTGAGGCCGTCCCTCCCCCTGGGCCTCCCAGCGCAGGGCCTAGAGCAGGAGGCGGCCCCGGCACTGCTGCCATTTGGGCTGAGTGGCCCTGGGGTGTGGGGCTGTCCTAGGCATGTAGGATGCTGAGCTGCATCCTGGGCCTTAGCCTACGGATGCCAGCAGCAGCCTCCACCACTGTGACAGCACAGGTGTCTGCAGACATTGCCACACTGCGCCCTGGAGAGGCAAACCTGGAGGACTCAGCAGTCAGGGGGGCTGGGCCCCAGGCCTGGCTCGGCCACATTCCTCAGGCGTCTCCCCTCCCCTCTCTGCCTTCGTTTCCTCATCTGTACGTGGGGGTAGTAACAGTGCCTTGCGGCGGAGTGTTGTTCTGTCAGCCAGATGAGGGGATCCGCTTTAAGCTCTTGGAACAGAGCCTGGGATGCGTAGTAAGAGCTCAATAAAGAGCAGGGCGGTTATTACTCTATTGAAAATATAGCAACTATTATACGGTGGCAGTTCACCGCAGAGCCCTGGGTGGTGGAGAGGCTGGGCTGAAATTCTGGCTCCGTCCCACTACACTGCAGGCCTCGGGCGACTCCCACCCTCTCTGTTCCTCAGTTTCCCTGTGTGAAAGCCAATGAGAGTAGGAGTGGTAACAGGAAGGGCTGGTATGGTAAGTATTATAGAATTAACAGAGTAACAAGATTCATTAATTGCTGTTTTAATTATATAAAGATGACATTCACTACAGTTCAGGTCGTTAAGGCTAGCCTGGGTTCAGTCTGGCTTCCGCTGGGCTGGTGTGGCCTCGGGACACCCTTCTCTTCTCCGAGTCTTCGTTTGCTCATCTGTAAGCCAAGACAGTAAGGGTAAGAATTAGACAAGATGCTGTGAGGAAAGGGTCCGGCACAGAGCGTGTGCTCAGTAAATACTTGCCCTCCCCCATCCTGCTCTCTGGGGAGAGCCATCTGATGGGCTGTGCCCGGCCCGGGTCCTCCCGGGAGTGCCCCTCCTTGGGTCCCTGACCTTCCTTCTCCTGCTCAGATCTTTCAGCACATCATCCGCCGGGAGGTGACGGATGAGGACACCAGACACCTGTCCCGCAAGTTCAAGGACTGGGCCTACGGGCCCGTGTATTCCTCGCTCTACGACCTCTCCTCCCTGGACACGTGTGGGGAAGAGGCCTCGGTGCTGGAGATCCTGGTGTACAACAGCAAGATTGAGGTGGGCGCCAGGGCGGGGGTCAGGGGTGTGTGGCTGAGAGCAGGGAGGTGGCCTGCGGCTCAAATCAGTGGGTCTGTGGGCTGAGTGCAAAAGAAGGTGCCAACTCAATGCCCAAAGTGACGCCTGGCACTGGGCAGGGGGGCGCTGAGGGGACTGTAAGGGGGAGCTTCAGGGGCAGGCAGGCCTGGGCAGGATTCTGGCTCCGTAACTTGCATGCTGTGCGACCCAGGACAAGTGACTCAGCCTCTCTGAGGCTGAGGATAAGGACAGTGCATATCTCATGGGGCCGCTGGGAAGACACCGTGAGTTAGTTTTAGAGCAGCCTGGCAGAGTAAACGTTATGTGCCAGCTGTTACCATTAGTAGATGTTATATGAAGTCTCGAAAGCTCTCTTTTCAGTTAGCAGTAGTTTGTGAACATCGTTCTGCACCATTAAATATTCTTGTGCGACATCATTGCTGCGTGTAAATGTACTCCATGCTAATGAACCATTCCTCCATGCTTGGTCATGTGGGTTTGTGTCTGCCTTTAACTATCAGGAAAAAAAAATACTACAGTTGCATCTCTGTGGCTATGCTGTTGCACAGATCCGTGGTTATAAAGAGACTCAGTCATTGGAGGGACAGGGTGCTTACAACTGGGGCAGAGCGTGCTGCCTGGGTGCAGAAGGCCCCCTCCCGCCCTGGCCGCCAGCGTGGACAGGCCTTCTCTTGCCTGAGCTTACTTCCCCATCTTGAAATTACTGACTTGATTCTTTTTTTTTCTTTTTAAAAAATATATTTTTTATTGATTTCAGAGAGGAAGGGAGAGGGAGAGGGAGATAGAAACATCAATGGTGAGAGAATCATTGATCAGCTGCCTCCTGCACGCCCCCTACTGGGGATTGAGCCCGAAACCCGGGCATGTGCCCTGGACCGGAATCAAACCCGGGACCCTTCAGTCCGCAGGCCGATGTTCCATCCACTGAGCGAAGCCAGCCAGGGCGTGACTTGATTTTGATGGGGTGGCGGGAGGTTTAGCGTATCTGGTGCCAACTCTGACCGCTGGTTTCTGCTTGGGGAGCTGTACAGAGGATGAAGGTGCAGGACTGTCATTGTTGTCTGGCCTGGGTTCGTCATTGGGAAGCTGTGGTTAGTCAGGTATTTAGCGTCCTGGGCTGAATCTCCCAGTCTGGCTTCCTGAGTCAGAATCCGGAGGTGGAAGCTCAGGGGCTTGTATTTTGGCAAGCAGCTCGGTACCATCCCCAGCTGGGAGTTTGGGGACCATGAGCACAGCTTTCCAGCCGGGTTCTGAGTCTAGAATAGGCCTCACAGGCAAGGGGGGCAGACCTTGGTGCTGAGCCCAGGAGTTGGGGGCTGAGTCCCACTCCCCTGCTCCCTGAGGATCGGGGTCAGGAGGAGCAGTGCTGGGGGAGGTGGGAGTGTCGGTCGCCTGCCCAGCGCGGCCCTGACGCCCGGGCCCCGCAGAACCGCCACGAGATGCTGGCCGTGGAGCCCATCAACGAGCTGCTGCGGGACAAGTGGCGCAAGTTCGGGGCCGTCTCCTTCTACATCAACGTGGTCTCCTACCTGTGCGCCATGGTCATCTTCACCCTGACCGCCTACTACCAGCCGCCCAGAGGCGGCTGGGGAGCAGGATGGAGGGGTGCCTCCCCTCGCCCAGTGGGGAGAGGAGGGAGGAGGCTCCCTGGGGTCAGATGTTGGGCCGCTGAGGGGACTTCTGGATCTGGGACTCGGTGTTGGAGGGGCTGGTGAGGACCTGCGTCCCCCGCCCCCCAGCCGCCGTACCCTTACCGCACCACCGTGGACTACCTGAGGCTGGCCGGGGAGGTCATCACGCTCTTCACCGGGGTCCTGTTCTTTCTCACCAACGTGAGTGTGTGGCCCCCAAACCCACCCGCCCTGCCCACCCTCCTCCTCCTCCTCCTCCTCCTCCTCACCTTCCCCCTTTCTTCTTCCCCCTTCCTCCGCCCCCTTCTCCAGCCCTGTACTCCCCTCTGCTCTTCCCTCCTTTCCCAACAGGCCCATCGTCTTTTCTCTGCACAGCAGTCGGCCTCCCTCTATTCTCTTCCTTCTTCTGCCTCCCCTCCCCTCCCCTCCCCTCCCTCCCTCTGTGCTCCTGGGGCTCCACCCCTCACCTGCCTCCCCCTGCCTCCAGATCAAAGACTTGTTCATGAAGAAATGCCCTGGAGTGAACTCTCTCTTCATCGACGGTTCCTTCCAGCTGCTCTAGTGAGTGGAGGCCCCGGGCTGGCAGCCCTGGGTCAGGAAGGTGGGGTTGGGCTGGGACATCGTCCAGGTTGGGGTGTGGGGGTGTGAATCCTAATAGCAGTGAGTTCACCCAGCCTGGCCACCTGGAGCCCGAAGTCAGGACAAGGCCAATCAATGCTAAGCAGTAGGGTCTTCTGATTACAGCAAGATTCTGGTTGCTAGAGAGTTACCACACACACCGGGGATAGAAATAATTGAACCCCTCCTGCTGGTGATGGGTTGCGAATGTCTGCCTGGAGTGCCCTGCTGAGAGGATTTGAGGCTGTGTCTGTGTTTGGTGGGAGAGTGCAGTGATGGATTATTGATGTCTGCCTCGGGCACAGGCTGCTACTGCAGGTGGCTACGTCTTTCCTTTCCCTTAGAGCCAGAGAGCAGTGAAGTCCACGCAGCACAAAACCCCCACTGCACACCACGACTCTCTAGCGCAGTGGTTCTCAACCTTCCTAATGCTGCAACCCTTTAATACAGTTCCCCATGTTGTGGTGACCCCCAATTTCATTGTTACAAATTGAACATAATTAAAGCATAGTGATTAATCACAAACACAATAAGTAATTATATATGTGTTTTCCGATGGTCTTAGGCGACCCCTGTGAAAGGGTCGTTCGACCCCCAAAGGGGTCGCGACCCACAGGTTGAGAACCACTGCTCTAGCGGTTCCAAAGGCATCACTTAGGGATCTTGCAGGGCTCAGGCCATTGCACACACAGTAATTGTCAATTCACCGAGCGGACCCACAGGTTGAGAACCACTGCTCTAGCGGTTCCAAGGCATCACTTAGGGATCTCGCAGGGCTCAGGCCATTACACACACAGTAATTGTCAATTCACCGAGCATTCTGGGTAACAGGGAACCCACTGTGCGTCTTCTGGGTTTCTAGAGCGTACGGGGTGTCTTCACCTTGGGGGGCTTAGGGCCTGTCTCCCCTCAGGGCCTCATTGCCCCTCCCCCGGCCCCTCCCGTGGTCTCTGCTGCCTGCAGCTTCATCTACTCCGTGCTGGTGATTGTCTCGGCGGCCCTCTACCTGGCCGGGATCGAGGCGTACCTGGCGGTCATGGTCTTCGCCTTGGTCCTGGGCTGGATGAACGCCCTTTACTTCACGCGTGGGCTGAAGCTAACAGGGACTTACAGCATCATGATCCAGAAGGTACGGAGTGGGGGACCCGCGGAGCTGCGTGCCCTGGGGGAGCCCCCACGCCAGGTACACGTCTCACATGCACAGACAGTGCCCGTGGGCCTGATGTGGGCACGCGGGGGCAGCAGGCAGGGCCTGGGTGTCGGGAGGGCCTGGGAGCGTTGGAAAGGGGATTTGGGATGGAGGCATTGGGAAAGCGAGAAGCCGTGTGTCTCACCTTCGCCTCCGTCATCCGCTGTGTCTGTAGATCCTCTTCAAAGACCTGTTCCGCTTCCTGCTGGTCTACTTGCTCTTCATGATCGGCTACGCGTCAGGTGAGCTCTGGGCGCCCAGGGGCTGCGGGTGGCGGGATGTGTGGGGAAGATAAGCAGCGGGTGTGGCGTTCTCACTGGTGCCAGGCGCTGGGCTAAGTCCTTCCCCGTCCCCGTCTCTTCATTCTCCCGGCAAGTCTGTAAGATAACGAGCCTTCGCTGTCTCCTTTCACAGATGAGGAAACAGGCGGGGAACGGTTAAATAACCTGCCCAGGTTCGAAAGCTAGGAAACGGTGCAACTGGCATGTTAACTATTATTAGAAGCCACATAAGACGCAGTGGCTTAAGACAGCCGCCATGCATTGATTGTTCGTGAGTCCAGCTCCGCTAGGTGGTGTGCTGGCTGGGACCGATCTGGCTAGTCTTCCAGGCCCTGTGTCCGAGCTCCGTGGGTGGGTTGGCTGGTCTGCCTGCTCTGGCCAGATGGCCTCAGTGGGGGCGTCTTTGCTCTCCCCTGTGGTCACTCACCCTCCAGCCGGCTCGATGGGGCTGGGGCACAGGGTGGTCTATGGGGGCTCAGAACGTGAGCGGAAGTGTTCAGGTCACTTCCTGGCATGGCATCGCTTCTGCCTCCCTCTATTGGCCAAAGCAAACTGAAGGCGGCCTCGGTTCAGAGGTGGGGAAATAGACTAGACCTCGCCACAGGAGGAGCTGCAAGCCACACTGAAGGGGCGGGGCTACAGGGAGAGTGAGTTCTCATAAGTAATCTATCAGCCCAGGTCTATTTATTTATTTATTTATTTATTATTGATTTCAGAGAGGAAGGGAGAGGGAGAGAGAGAGAAGCATCAATGATGAGAGAATCATTGATCGGCTGCCTCCTGCACGCCCCCTCCTGGGGATCGAGCCCAGAATCCAGGCACGTGCCCTGACCGGGAATCGAACCCTGACCTCCTGGTTCATAGGTCGATGCTCAACCACTGAGCCACGCCGGTCAGGCAGCCCAGGTCCTTTTTAAAGCTCAATACTGGCTCCCTCAAGTATGGCTTCTCCGTGACGTCATGATGCCGCGGGACCTCGGTGGCACAGGCTGTGGGGGAAGGACCAGGAACGGGGAACTGACCAAGCCTGGCTGGTCCCTAGGGGGTGGGTGATCGCCCATTTGATGCTCAGCATCCAAACTCGAGTGGCCGACTCAGGCTTCGCCTGCCACACTCCACCTGAGGAGGCTGGTCGGGGACCAGCCCTGGAGCAGGATCTGATGGTAGCGTTATTTTAACCAGATGGTGGGTGATTCCGGGAACCAGAACTGCAGCCTTAGCTGGGGAGAGAGGGACCGGCTACAGCTGCCCCCTCCCGGTGATGGGACTTAGAAGAACTAGACAGAGTGTCAGGGGTTCCACAGTGGTTTGGGATTCGGGTCAAGCCCAGCCCTACTGCAGTCCTAACTATAGAAACTGAGGCAGAAGCTTCGTGGCTAAAGTGGCAGCTGAGTGGTCAGCTTGCTGCCAGGGCTTCTGCTGCGGGACACTAGCTCCCTGGTCTGCGATGGACATGACACAAACGTGACGCGTGCTCCTGTTCCACGTTTGTGCCCGCGACAGACATGGCCAGTGGATCACAGAACGGTTTTTCTGATGAGTCCAGACAAGATTTCAGAATCCTTCTCAACACACATTTCAGCAGCCGCTACACAACTGAGTGGCGTTGGCAGGAGCTGTAATCCCAGGTGGAAGGCACTCGGGCAGTGATGGCGAACCTATGACACGCGAACTCATTTTTTTGGTTGATTTTTCTTTGTTAAATGGCATTTAAGAATCCTTCTCAACACACATTTCAGCAGCCGCTACACAACCGAGTGGCGTTGGCAGGAGCTGTAATCCCAGGTGGAAGGCACTAGGCGTTCTATGCCCACGGAGCGCAGGGGCTCCGTCCCGCATGCTCCCTGCCCTGGGGGTCAGGGGCGGTTGTTGCTGCTCAGCTGTGCTGAGAAGGATCTGAAGCTGCGTCTGGGCTGAGCACCACTGTCGGCTGAGGTGTCTGGAGGGGTGAGGGCCTTAGCGAGCGCGGCTTCTGGGCCGTCAGCACTGGCGCCGGTTTCGGCTCCTGCCCTTCCTCTGTGAGCAGAGAGAGCGTCTGCCCGGAGCTCGGGTCCCAGGCTCCCGGGACCTGTGGGAACGCCGGGCTGGAGCAGGGCTTCTCAGCCTCGGCACCTGTGGCTTTTGGGGCCGGATGATTCTCCTGTGGGCTGTCCTGTGCGTGGGGTGTTTGTCAGCACCCCTGGCCTCTGCCGAGTGCACACCAGCAGCACTCCCTCCGGCTGTGCGACCGAACACGGCTCAGGACACTGCAGATGCCAGTGGGGGGGGGGTCGCCCTCTCAGGTCATTGCAGATGCCCCAGGGGGCGGGGTTGCCCTCTCAGGACATTGCAGATGCCCCAGGGGGCGGGGTCACCCTCTCAGGACATTGCAGGCGCCCGGGGGGGGGGGGGGTATCACCCCTGGTGGAGGCCCTCCTCCTCGCTGGCAGGAGTTCTGGGAAGAGCAGTGGCTTCAGATTTGGGAAGACCCCGGCCTGGCTGACCTGCTGGGTAGCCCTGGGCCGTGCTCTCCTGTGACCAAGCCTCAGTTTCCCCTCCATCCGATGGGGATGACTCTCCCCCCCTCAGCTGGCGTCTGACACTCAGTGAATGCCCCCCCGTCCCGCCCACAGCCCTGGTGTCCCTGCTGAACCCGTGCGCCAACATGAAGGAGTGCGGCGAGGACCACGCCAACTGCACGGCGCCCACGTACCCCTCGTGCCGCGACAGCGACACCTTCAGCACCTTCCTGCTGGACCTGTTCAAGCTGACCATCGGCATGGGCGACCTGGAGATGCTGAGCAGCACCAAGTACCCCGCCGTGTTCATCGTGCTGCTGGTCACCTACATCATCCTCACCTTCGTGCTGCTGCTCAACATGCTCATCGCCCTCATGGGGGAGACGGTGGGCCAGGTCTCCAAGGAGAGCAAGCACATCTGGAAGCTGCAGGTGAGCGGCTCCTCCGCCCCCGCGCCCTCCTTCCGAGAGGGGCCTCGGACCCACCACCTCCTCAGTCTTCCGCTCCTGCCTCCACCTCCCTGTCTGTAGAATGGGCATCCCAGGCTGCGCCTGCTTCCCAGAGCCGCCTACTGTGTTGCCAACGGCTTCTTGCCTGACCGCCAGCAGTGGCCTCGCCCCACCTTGGGGTCCAGTTCCCAGGACAGTCGCCTCCGGGCACCGAGAGGCTCTGGCTCAGGGAGTGCTCAGGGAGCCGGGCCTTGCAGCAGGGTCTGTGCCGAGTCCAGGGGCCAGGGGCCGCTTCCAGCCCTGCCACCCTGGGGTGCTGTCGTGTGGAAGGCAGTGCGGACTGGGCCTCACTGGCCCGGGTGCGATCCTAGGCAGCAGAGGCCTGGGGGCCCGCCTGCCGGGGCTGCGCACCGTTCCGAATCTGGTTTTCACAGTCAGGGCTTTCCGAGGCCCAGGCACGCGCACTGCATCTCCCTGACTCGGTGAGAAAAGAACCCCAAGGTCACCCTCCCACGCCGGGCCTCAGGGCAACATCCAGATCTGTTCTGAGTCCTTACCCACACGGCCTCAGCTTCCCCCCCGGGTGGGACTCATCAGATGCAAACCGGCAGCCTGAGGACTGGATTTGACCAGCAAAGATTTATTTTTTTCTTTATCATTAAAAAAAATTAATGCAGAATTTTAAAGTTAAGAGATTTCACATTAAAATCCAGGCTGTGGCCTTTCTTGGCGAGGTGGGCCCATATCCCTGCCTGGCCGCCCCCTGTACGTGGGCTGTGCTCTCTGGTTTGCCCCAGGCCCCACCTCTCCCTAGTGCTCCCCGCACTGAGCGGCGACTGCTGTGCTGAGGCCTGGGCTGCGGCCTTTCTGCCTCTGATGCTGCCTCACCCATTTATTCTGCTGGGTCAGGGGGATTCGAGTTTGTAACCGTTTCCAGGGTCAGTGGGAGCTGGGAAACCTACTTCTCTGCCCACCCCGCCTGCTGTCATTTCTGCCATCAGGGCAGTGGGCGGGCGGGCGAGGCTCACCCCCGGCCTGTGCTCCCCCTTCCAGTGGGCCACCACCATCCTGGACATCGAGCGCTCGTTCCCCGTGTTCCTGAGGAAGGCCTTCCGCTCCGGCGAGATGGTGACCGTGGGCAAGAGCTCGGACGGCACCCCGGACCGCAGGTGGTGCTTCAGGTGAGCGGGCGGACGGGCCGGAAC